GCCACGTCAACCTGGTTGGTGCAGGGTGGCCTAGTGTGCCTGTCACATGAGGCCTGGGCCTGAGGGCCGGATTCTTTTTGCAGTGATGATTCAGGGCTCGAGGTTGACACCACATCAGAAAACCAAGACCCCTGCCTCCTTCTAGGCGCAGATGGCAAGCTGCTAGTGAAAGCCAGAAGGAAACCACTCAGAAAGACAAACCATAGGCCTATGCCACGAACTACTTTTGAGGGAGGGCCACTTTGGTAAGATTCTGTAGGTGTCTGGGAGTGCTCTCTATCCAGAGGAGCCAGATAAGAAGCTAGGCTTTGTGATGCCTTTTCTGTCTCACTCTAGCAGTCAGTCCATTCCTCTCTTGGTCCCCCGTGTCACCCCATAAATACCTGTGATGTAACACTTATCACACTGTCTTATCCTCATGTGTTTTCTTATATGGCTCCTTCTCTAGAAGAGAGCCCTTGTGACAGAAGTTGTGCATATTGGTCTCTGTATGTAGTAACTCACCGGGAACCTACCAGAGTAGGTAGCCAAAGATAGCTTGGTGAACAGTGATGTTAATAATAGCTAATATTTCCTTGGCATTTATGTATGCTAGGAGCTTCCCATATGTTCGCTTTGCTCTTGTGATGTGAGACCTGTGGTCCTCACCATTTTATAGGTGACAAAAAAGGAGGCCCAGAAAGGTTAAGTAACTTGTCTGTGGTCCTACATCTAGTAAGCATCAGATCCCGAATTCAAATAGAAACCCACCTTCTTAACCACTGTGCTGACTGGCTGACCAAAGGGCTGAACAAAAGCTGACTGAGAGATCAAGTGACTAAGGCTTTGTGAGGGAGATGCAAAGAAGGGACTGGCAGACGTGGTTCTTTTGGGATGTGGGCTTGAAACCACAAAACTAAACAAGGGCTTCATTTGGAGACATCACCCGTCCATTAGGGGAAAGAGATCATGATTCAGGAGCCCACTTCTTACTGCTTATTCTTTCTCTGGCAAGAGAAAGAATTGGCCAAGTCTGAGGATCTGTTCTGGCATATTCCCGGAGGTATCGCTATAGCTCAAGTGCTAGGGAGTAATACTTACTGTTGCATCTTTCTGGAATGCCTTTTCCCCCGAGTGTGCACATGGCTCACACCTTCATTTCACTTTCTGTTCCAGTGTCACCTCATCAGAGACCTTCCCCGAACTGATCTGAGGAAGTGCCGTTCTTTATTCTCTTACTCTGCTTTATTTTTCTTCATTGTACTTATCACCACCCAACATAGAATATATATTTGTTTATGGTGTTTTAGCTTGTCTCTCTCCACCGGCGTATAAGCACCAGGGATCTGTGGCTCTGTTGTGTGTACTGTTGTATCCCTAGCTCCTAGAGCAGTGCCTGGCAAGTAGTAGGTGTTTGATGTTTGTTTTTATTTTCGTTTTTTTCAGTGAATAAATGATTTTGGACTTTGAGACTACCGGTGTGCAAGGCCTTTTATCATTTGGCCTCAGTAATGCCTTACTCTTCTTATCTCTATATGTTACCCTTCGACTCCAGACAAATTGGAGTTCATGTTCTTTGAACAGGACTCACCTTTAAAGTTCTGTCCTTGCCAAATTCTGTGGCCTTCTGCTGACAGCCACAGCTCTCAGTACTTGCTTTTACCTTCTTCCTCACTTTGGCCTGGAGATTCTTCCCATTTTCTCTTTTGGAATAAGAAAGCAGAACAAGACTTCTAGCTTTTAGATATTGGAACCTTAGGGGCAAGAGGCCCTTATATCTCGCCTTGACTACTGAGCGAGAGGGACACAGAGTTGCCCTCTGACAAGGATGCTGCCCGTCCTGGCTTACTTCGCTCAGACTGCGGTGACTCTGGATGGTCATACCATGCTGCCGAACCTACCCAGATAGGGTGTCTGCCCTGGTAACAGAATGATGTGTGGAGCATACACACGCACATGCACACGCACAGAAGAACTATCTTGAGACTTATCCTCACAGCTGAAGCCCTTATCCTTTCCCCTATAGCTTAGCCATGTAGTGGCTGACTATGTTGAGAGTCCATCCTTCCTGGAGTACGGTGGCCCCCGTACAGCCCCTCTGTCTCACTTAATGTAGTGTTTAGAACAGTGGTTCCCAGCTGGGGTGGGTGGGGTGGGGCATCTTGTCCTCCAGGGAACATTTGGCAGTACCCAGAGACATTTCTGAGGGTCACAAGTGGCAGCATGCTACGTCTAGTGGCTAGATGCTGAGGAATATTGTTAAACACACTCCGTGGCAGAGGACGGCACCCTGACAAGGAATTATCCTGCCCAGAATGTCAGCGGGGCAGACTGAGAAGCCCTGGTCGAGAGTGCCTCCTGCCCATCTGCACCATGGCAGAGGGTGCAGCTAGAGGAGTTCCCACACGCCTGCGTCTGTGCTTGCACTTGTATTAAGGCGTCCTCCCAGGAGACAAAAGGCCCTTGTAGCTCAGCTAGCCGCAGGCCTTTCTAGCAACAAAAAAGTGGCCTTCTTTCCACTCCACATGCCAAGCAGAAAGGCCCCTTTGTGTGAGACACGGCCGAGCGCCCTTGGCAGCAGTGGCGGGAGCGTGTTGTTCCCCGCACTTCACAGGCCGGTACTTGTCTGTCTGCCACAGATCTGTGTGTCACTCTGCTACACCTTCACTAGCCGGCATTCCAGACCATAGTGAACAAGCACATTTGTCATGTCGACAGATGTGTACAGAGGCAGATACGTTCCTTCTCAGGAAGAAAGGCTAATACGTCCCACTTTTCTTTCTTTCTTTCTTTTAAAATAAATTTATTAGTATTCAACATTACTACAGAGTATTTTTTTAAAATATTTTGTTTATTTATTTGGCAGAGAGAGACACAGCGAGAGAAGGAACACAAGCAGGGGGAGGGGGAGAGGGAGAGGGAGAAGCAGGCTTCCCGCCAAGCAGTGAGTCCCATGTGGGGCTCCATCCCAGGACCATGAGCTGAAGGCATACGCTTAACGACTGAGCCACCCAGGTGCCCCATGTCCCACTTTTCTAACCCTGATCTTTCATCCCTCCTTTCCCAAGCCCTAGGATTTGAACGTAGCTCTTGGACATTAATTTCTGTCTTCTTTTCAATGTTTTCTAGTCTGGGAATTCAAAATTTAACCAAGCAATGACTAAACACCCTTAGCCTAAGCCTTTGGGATGCAGTCTGGGGGCACTAGATCTCCCCAAGCCCCTTCCCCTTCTCATCTCCTGTGCCTCTGCAGGTAGCTTACCCTCAAAGTCTCTCAGTTTCAGAACTTCCCTCCTGAATTCTAGAAGCTTCTTGAGGATATTGAGAGATTGGAGCATTTTTTTCCTTCAACCTTGTTTCCTGCCGGGTGTCTGAGTGTCTAGTCTGTACCATGGGCTGGGCCGCACTATAGGGGAGGTAGGAGAATGAAGGGGCAGGTTCAGCCTTCCAGCTTCTCCAGCTTCCCTGAGCGTGACACAAACAGCCCAACACCTGCGCTGTTGCTGCTGTGTATTTAAGGAGATTGTTGTTTCTGTTTGGGGGCCCACAGTCAGAACATGTCTGGAACTCCTCATGTGGGAGTCATTCTTCTTTGAGTAAATTCTTATTGATGCTACTATGTATGTATATGTATGTATATGTATGTATACTATTTTATTTTGTTTTATGATTTATTTCTTTATTTTAGAGGCCAAGAAAGAGACTGTTGGGGAGAGGGGTAGCAGGAGAGGGGAAGAGGAAAGAGGAAGAGAGAGAGTCTTCAGGCAGACTCCCTTCTGAGCACAGAGCCTGACTTGGGGCTTGATCCCACGACCCTGAGATCATGACCTGAATCAGCATCAAGAGTTGGACACTTAACCGGCTGAGCCACCCAGGTCCCACAGAGTAGCCCTGCTTTAGAGATAGTGGGGTGGGGTGGGCAACAGTGAATGGGACATAGTCCATGTCTTCACTGTTGTCTGACGTTTAGAGGGAAACGGGACAGCATTCTGATGAAAGGTAATTTTTGGGAAAGACATGGACGGACCTTAAGAGAAGTGGCTGAGAATCTCACTATTTCATTCTGCTTCAGAACTTTTTTGGCTTCTTGCTGCTCATAGCAGTCATTTTCAAACTTGAGGAATGTACAGATTCCTTTTAAGGGAAATAATTTATCTTGGACCTACGATGCTGACTTTGTTTTTGTTATAATAATTATTATTTAAAAGTGTATAAACAAAATGAGGTTTAAGTCACTATATAAAATTTGTATACAAATATAAACAAAACCAGACTGATACATTAAGTAAAAGCAAACTTCAAATCCAATAAAATGATGTTTTTGCTGAAACTCAGTTGCTCCCAGGCTTTTTAGGTTCAGCATGCCAGTGTTAGTGGGTGTCATCTGATACACATATCCTGGATATCATCCATCCAGCCATCTGTTTATCTGTCAAGTAGAGAGAGAAGGCATGAGAGCACAAGAGTACATAATGGCTGAGAGCAAGGTCTGGAGCCACATTGCTTGAGTCCAGACCTTTGCTTTACCAATTCCTAGCTGCGCAGCTTTGGGAAAGTTATATACAATGTCTCTGTATTCAGTTTTTTCATCTGTGAAATAGGGATAAAACAGGACTTATCTTTCACATGGTAGTAGTTCTTTCACATGAGTTAATATATCATCTTTCACATGAGTTAATATATCATCTTTCACATGAGTTAATACATAGGTGGCTCCTAGAATAGTACCTGTCACGTAGTAGGTGCAGGTAAAGAATGGCATTTAGTAGTAGTATTATCATGATCGTATTCTAGTTCAGGATGACTTCATCCCAAATGCTGGTGTAGTGGAAGAGCGAGTCCATCCCCTACAGGTCAAACAGAAAGTACAGTATGTACTCCATAACACTTAGGATTCTGTGGGAGGGGGAGATGATAACCACAGAAGTATGCGGTCAGTGAGAAGGCCGGTGTGACTCTGACGGTAAGTTCCGGTAGTGCTTGCATTCTGGAATCATGGCTTGGCTTGTCTCTTCCCACAGTGTACAACTGGACCGTGGACGAGGTGGTGCAGTGGCTGATCACATATGTGGAGCTGCCTCAATATGAGGAGACCTTCCGGAAGCTGCAACTTAGTGGCCATGCCATGCCAAGGTCAGGAGGAGACTGGATTCCCTCCCCTGGGGGTGTGGGGAATGGGGGGGGGTCGCCTACTTTCAGGTTGCTCTGGCCAGTTAAGCGAGGTTCCACCCTTTCCAGGGCAGAATCTGTAGACCTCTCCTCTTCTCACGTCTATCGTGCACTTACCATAAAGCATGACAGTCACTTGGCATCCGTTCTCTCATTTAGTATTCCTGCCACTCTTGGGCATAGTACTAAGAGCTGTCGTTTATTGGATGCTTAGCGCTTAGCACGTGGCAAGCACTGCTGTTCAACACGTTGTATACAGTATCTCATTTAATTCTCGCATCAATCCTGTAAGGTAGGTGTTATTGCATATAGATGGTGAACATGGCTAAGTAACGTTTCCAAGGTCACATGCCTAGTTAAAGGCAAAACTGATTTGAAACTAGATCTGGATAGACTTCAAAGCCTGTGGATGTTTCTTTCCTCTTTTGCTGTACCCCCAGCAGGAGCCTCGGGGCTCTGTTAGCCTCCCCTGAATTATCCATATGCCGCGTATCTGCTCTAAAGAGGCAGTGCAAGGCTGGCGTGACTCCCTCGGCCCCAGCCTCCTTTCCGGAAAGACTCTTGCAAGGGCTGCGGTCCCCTAACTCTGCCTCCTTCACAGGCACAGTGTGCCGGGGCCTGCGGCGGGAGAGGGGAAGGGATGGAACACTGTGTGGGCTTCTTGTGATGTCAAACTAGTGCCATGTGTCATTCAGTTATTAATCCATTTACTTATTCATTCGACACATATTTACTGGGTACCTGCTCTGTGCCAAGCACTTGTACTGGGTGCTGGGGATAAAGATGACAACAGCCTGCCCCTGCCCTCAAAGGGCTCACTGTCTGGTAAGTGCTGCTTACATATAATCTGTCATCTTGTTACGTAGGTGCACCTGGTTGTGAGCTTCCACAAAGGGGAAAGGGGAAGGTGAAGCTGTTGGAATGCCCACACATGGCAGCCTCTACCCCCAGAGCTACTGGGCACTGCTGTCCAGGCCCAGATGAGCTGCCCGTTCCCTCCTCTGTTACCTGTAGCCTTCTCTTCACAGCTTCCTCTACTCTGGAGAGAGTAATAATCCTAATGTTGGTACATCCCCTTATAGAATACTTGCCTACCTATTATTTCAATTGACCCTCACAATTCTGGGAGGAAGGAATTAACTACCCCAGCTTTTGGGTGAGCAAACTGAATTTCAGATATTTTATGATTTAATCCAAACTGGTAAGTGGCGGAGCTGGGACTGAACCCAGGTCTCCCTGGTTCTAAGTGCCCTGCTTTTTTCCACTGCATCTCCCTCTTTCCCCATGTAGTTGAAGATAGGCTTCCTGGAAATATTCAGTGCAGTTCTCTTTAACAAAACGTTACCAATCATCTACCCTGGGCAGGGTTCTCTCCTGGGCCCTGAGGACAAAGAAATGCATTAGACCCCATTAAATAGATGACTGACCATGAAGCTCCAGGATTTAGGTTTCTTTCTCATTACCCATGGAAACAGCAGCATTGCCTTGTGGATTCCTGGCTCATTCCATCTTGAGGAATAGCTATGGCTTAGATTAAAACTCTAAGGATAAACATTATCCTTAAAACATAGGATAAGAAGTCAGTTCTCAGGTCATGGGCTCATGTAGCCCTCTTGTAGCCAGACCCCGCCAAGTTAGGCAGAGGGGTAGAGGAAGCCAAGCTGTGGCACCTTAGTGAGAGTAGGAAGCATGGAGCCTCAGTGTTTGGTGTGCTTGGTGTGTGGGAAGGAGGCAGCATGGTATAATTGGAAGAAGAGTCTGAAAGATTTGAGTTCATTTCCTGCCTTTGCCATTTACTTGCTGTGTGACTTTGGGCAGGTAGCTCTAAGTCCCGGTTTTCTTACCTGTGAAGTGGACCTAATGACAGAACTGTGTTTCTAAAGTCAGAGGACTAAGGTGTTGTATGCAAAGTGTCAGAATGGTACAAGATACACAGCAGTTGCTTGGTAAATATTAGCTCCTTTCTCATTTCTCTCATTGCTCAGAAATAGATACTATTCCAATTCTTAGATTTCTTTGACAAATAGACTGTGGAAAAGATGACACTTATTTTGATGAGTTAGATGAAGGCCAGTACACCTGGTAGAAGTGTTCTCTCTAAAGAGGAGCCCTGAGAACTCTCAGGCTTGTAGGAAGCATCTGATTTTCCATAAGTTTACACAGGAGGAGAATGGGGTCCCAGAGGAGAGACCAAGCTGCTCAGGATCAGACAAGTGAGTTGCTGACTCAGCTGGGACCAGAAGCTTCATCTCCTAACCCCTTTACCTGCTGACCCCCACCCCCCGCCCCATCGCAGTGTCTCTCTTACAGGCGGGCTGGCTTGATTGCTTCCCAGGGCTAGAGAAGGAAGTAGCTGCTCCTGCATGCCCAGGGAGGAGTGTAAATCATACACCACGATGTCAGAGGGCTCTTTTCTATCGTGGGAGACAAAACTATGCATCAGAAAAGAGCACTGCCTTCATGGAGTAGGATAGTGGTAAATGCTCATGTGTGGGGCCCAGACCAGTGCACTGATAACCTTTCATATCTTATACCCGTCTCCTCCTATACCCACTGTGTTCCAGCAGAAGAGAAACAAAGTCCAGTTTTTCCTGGGTCATTTTCTTGTTTACAGACCCTCTCTTATTAGAGTCATCATGAATAGTATGTTGAAGGTCATAAAAAATTACAGTAATCTGACTGGGAGTAAATTGCAGTGACTCAGATACAGGATAACAAGACTAATGCAGTTTGTCATCAGCAGGTTTGTACTTAATGGCAGTGGGTCAGGATCAGAGGCCCTCAGAATCACTGGGTCATGTGGCATGGGGTGTGGAGCTGGGTTGGACAGGAGAATGCATTTACAAATGGTGGGAGTATGGGGACAGGTGTATAGTGGATAATCCCTGGCAGGAGAAACATGACAGAAAATTTGCAGTCGGGTGTGGGAATGGTCACAGATGGATAATCCTCAGAGAGTAGCATTCTCAGGAGATGGTGGACATGGGCAGAAAGGGGAACATTTTCGGTAAATGTTATGTGTCCTTCCTTACTCCCTGTTGAAAACCACTGGTATAGACTCTGTGTTCTGGAGTGCAGAGGGGAGCTATCACCAAGAGCTAGAGGTCATGGAAGTGTTCCTGGAGGAGGTGGGTAATCCTACCGGTAACCCTCCTGGTTTTAGTGGCAGGAAACTGAGTTCCTCCTCTTTGTTTCAACAGGCTCGCTGTGACCAACACCACCATGACAGGGACTGTGCTGAAGATGACAGACCGGAGCCATCGGCAGAAGCTGCAGCTGAAGGCCCTGGACACAGTGCTGTTTGGGCCTCCTCTCTGTGAGTGCTGCGGAGAGAAGGGCTGCTGATGTACCGTGGGACCTGAGGCTGTGGGGGTGGCAGGCTGTGGTCCTGGGTCTCCTGGGCGTACCTGCAAGGCAGCACCTCTGCTCTTTCCACTAAGAAATGAAAACATGAGGTATCGAATAGTGTTATATTTTAATCCAGCCAGATGCAAGGTCCATTCATTAGATACATTAAGAAAATACTCACTTTATGCCAGTTCTGTGCTGGACCCTAGAGGGAGATCTGGATGAATCCTATTCTGCTCTAAAGGGATAAAATGAATGTTCCGGAGAGGTACACAATGCTTCTGAGTTCCAGAGGAGGGATAGAGAAGGCATCCTGTAGAAGAGGTGGCATGTGACCTCTGCCTGTAAGGGTGGGTAGGGCTTTATTCTGTGCAGGTGGCAGGAGAGAAAATTCTAGGTGGAAGAAACAGCCGGAGCAAGAATACAAAAGCTGAAATATGAAGGGTGTGCTCAGAGATAATAAGGAACCCACAGGGTCTGAGTGCCATTTAGCTGTTCCTTGCTTTCACTGTGGACATGCAGAGTGTATGAACTGATTGCTGATCATCTTCTGTCCTTGAACAGCCACAGAGGTCTCCGTGGGCTTCCGCGGAGTCACAGAGACATACTCAGGCGGAAGGAAGGAATAGTCTGTTCAGCCAGGGATTACTTGAGAGCATTAGGTTGTTTAATTCCTGAAGATCTGCAAGGTGGGAATGGCCAACCCTGCCATCCTTTTCCTTATTCTAAGTGAACTCTTGGGGAACAAAACTGGTAAGATTTCTTAGAAAATTAATCTTTACCAAGCAGGCTTCTAGGGCCCACTTCCTGCCCTTTGGGGCTGTTGGCATCGGTTGAGGATGCCAGCAGCAGAATGCTGTAGAACCAGGAATCAGTCCAGAGAAGCAGCTAGCGGGCAGGGTTGGAGACTGTAGAACATTTTCCCATCCATGCGTTTGGCTTGATGGCGCCCAAGCTGATGTCTCATTAGAGGTGGGTGGGTCTGTCCTTTTTTGTTTTTTAAATTTCTACTAAGCTTTATTTTTAAGCGTAGTCCTAGGTTTGCATCAAAATTGGGTGAAGATACACAGATCTCCTATATGCCCCTGCCCCCATACCTGCATAGTCCCCTCCATGGTTAACAGCACACCCTCCCCCCACCCTGAGTGGTACATTTGTAACAAATGATGAACCTACACTGACATATCACCAGCACTCAAGAGTCCACACTTTATATCGGACTTGACTCTTGGTGTTGCACAGTCTATGGGTTTGGACAAGTGTAAAATGACATGACCTACCATCATTACAGTGTCATATAGGCTAGTTCACTGCCCTAAAGATCCTCTGTGCTCCACCTATGTATCCTTCCCTCCCCCTCAATCCCTGACAGCCACTGGTCTTTTTTTTTTTTTTTTAACTTTTCTGTTGTTTTGCCTTTTCCAGAAGGTCTGTGTCTTTTGAAAATGTGAAACAAAGCAACATGAAGGAAAACTGGTTTCCTTTTTCTCTTTCTCTTTCTCTTCCTCTTCTCTTGCTTGCTTGTTTTTCTTTCTTTCTTTCTGTCTTAGGGTACATTTTTGCTTACCATTCATTTATAAGTTTTGAATAAATGACACAATGGATGGCTCTAGCGTTTATGGGAGGCCCACTACTGAGCAAAGGCCTCTCATTCACTAACATTTATTGAACAACTACTGTATACCAGTTTAAATGACAGGGTCCCTGCTTTCAAGAAGCTCCATCTAGGGACACCTGGGTGGCTCATGAGTTAAGCATCTGCCTTCAGGTCATGATCAAGTCCTGCACGGCTCCTTGCTCAGCAGGGAGCCTCCTTCTCCCTCTGCCTGCCACTCCCCCTGCTTAAGCTCTCTCTCTCTCTTGCGTGTGCTCTCTCTCTCTTTGACAAATAAATAAAATCTTAAAAAAAAAAAAGTTCCATCTAAATGGAGATAAGCACATCAACAATACAGTAAGTGATCAGCAAATACAGTGTTATAGCTATCATGGAAACCTTTCCAGAGTTCAGCTGGGAGCACAAAATGGGGACAAGTTTTCAATTTGAGTCCAAGAAGCTTTATGGAGAAGACCATTCTTGAGCTGAGTCTTGAAAAATGGAAGGGAGCTTTGCTAGGCTTTCCCATGAACAGCTTACACCCCCGTTTCTTTGTATACACTAGCAAGACTCTTACAGCAGAAGAATCAAACCCAATAATAAAAGCTAGGCTACTTTTGCAGAGGCTGTCCTCTGTTCCCCGCCAGGAAGGGGAGGACTTTCGCAGCCTGAAAGTCTTCTTTAGTCTTCTGAGATATATTATCAGACTGTTATTGTTATTTTTTTTTAAAGATTTTATTTATTTATTTGACAGACAAGAGATCACAAGTAGGCAGAGAGGCAGGCAGAGAGAGAGGGGGAAGCAGGCTCCCCGCTGACCAGAGAGCCTGATGTGGGGCTCGATCCCAGGACCCTGAGATCATGACCCGAGCCGTAGGCAGCGGCTTAACCCACTGAGCCACCCAGGCGCCCCGACTGTTATTGTTCTGTATCAAAATAGGTTTTACCATATCTGAAAGGGTGCATTAGAAACTGCAGGTCAAAGTAGGCAAGGATTCTACCTGGGAACATCAGCTGGGGCTGGAAAGCATGGGAACCAGAGTCCTAGGTGCAGATAATGGATCCAGGGGGCCAGAGCTAGCAAGAGGGGCTAGTGTAGCAGGTTAGGCTGATACCAGCATGGGAGGGGTATTTTCTCCTAGGCTACCTTCATATAGCCTATAGCTTACATGTGACCTAACCTACCGGAGTCAGAGGGCAGCAACAGTGTTTTCTGAGAGGTAAGAAGACACTTCATATGCACTAGGATAGGTACCTTAAAAACAAAAACAGGGAGACAAAAAGTGGAAAATAACTAGTATTGGCAAGGGTGTGGAGAAATTAGAATCTTCGTACATTTCTGATGATAATGTAAAATGATTCAGCTACCGTGGAAAATAGTGTGGTTGTTCCTCAGAAAGTTAAACATAGAGTTACCATATAGCCCAGGAATGTTTCCAAGGAATTGAAAACAAGCTCTCAAACAAGTCCAGGTACACATATCCAGAGCAGCACTGTTCACAGTGGTCAGAAGGTGGAAACAACCCAAGTGTCCATCAGTGGACACGTGGCTAAGTAAGCAGTAGTATATCAGTACAATGGACTGTTACCCCGCCACAAGAAGGAGTGAAGTTCTAATACATGCCACAACATAGGTGAACCTGGAAAGCACACTAAGTAAAAGAAGATAGATGTAAAAGGTTACCTATTGTATGATTCCATTTATGTGAAATATCCAGAATAGATACATCTGTAGAGACAGAAGACAGATGGGTGGCTAGCAGAGGCTGGAGGAAGTGAGAAATGGGGAGGGACTGCTAGTGGATATAAAGTTTCTTTTGGGGGTAATGGTAATATTCTAAAATTAATTGTGCTGGTGGTTGCACAACCTTGTAAATATGATAAAACCACTGAATTGTACATTTTTTATTTTTATTTTTCAAAGATTTATTTATTTGAGGGAAAGAGAGAGAGAGCATGAGCAGAGAGAGGGGCAGAGGGAGAGAGAGATGCAGACTCCCTGCTGAGCAGGGAGACTGATGCAGGGGCCGAGTCCTAGGACCCCAGGATCATGACCTGAACAGTAGGTAAATGCTCAACCAACTGAGCCACCCAGGTGCCCCTGAGTTGGACATTTAAAAAGAGTAAATTTTAGGGTATATGAATTATATCTCAATGGTAATAAAACATGTAGAGCTTGATTTTTTTGTAACTCTTAGACTTCCATTTAGAGAACTTCTTATAAAATTTAGGAAAGTAGGGTACCTTGCTCTTTTCCAAATTTCCACTTATTGTGTGACCTTGTATAGGTTGGTTTTCTCAGGATGTGTTTTCTGATTTGTATTATGAAACAATCGAACTAAAGGATCTTTGATTCCTTTCAGGTGAACATTCCACGGTTTTTGAGGGGAAACCCTTTGATTGATAAGTGTCCTGGTAAAAGGATAAAAGACAGGAAGTCTGTTCCTTCCACTGCTGTCTGTATCCTGTACTTTTAGGAATTGGTCCTTGTCCCTTGCCTTATCAAGTGACCTTCGGCAATTCAGTTCTCCTACCTAGATTTAGGTTTCCTTATTTGTAAGATGGGCTTGGTCATTAAATAAGCTCTTACTGGGTCCCTCCTTCAAGGACTCTGATAGAGCTGGGTGTTCTCCTGGGAGCTAAGATTTTGGAATCCAGCAGCTATTCTGATGGCAAATACCGTTTGAATACTTTCCTACTGATGGCTTGTTAAAGAAAATTTTTGAAAATTGCCAGATGGAATCCGAGGAAAATACTAGGAAGCTCTTTGCCAGGAGACTTCTGCAAGGATGGAGCCGTGCATGACGGGTACCTGCAAAGAATCCCTTGATCTGTGTCCTGTGTCCCTCCAGCTCTGTTTCCCATCTAAGCATGGGCTAAAATGCTGAATTCAGCACTGTTCCCTATCCAACCCCACAACCCCACGCAGGCTTAGTGTGATGGCCGGTACTGCTGAGCTGCTTCTGCCCCAAGGGTGAGTTCTTAAGGCTGTGGTCCTTTCGGCTCACCAGAAAGCAGGTAGTAGATAAACACCCCAGAGAACCTGGGCCAGGTACAGCTACCTTGCCCAGCCTTAATGAAAATCCTGCCCTCAGTCGAAGCTTGAGAAATCTCAGCTCAGAAGTTTGTTGTGCAGTAGCCGCGAAGGTCTGCTGAGTGATCAGGGTCCCTCTGTCCCCAGCAGCCTCCGAGCTTGCGAAGGGGTAAGAAGGGTCAGACTGGCTCATCACAGAGTACCTCAGAGCCCATTTTCCAACAGTAGAAGGCATCTCCGTCCTCCCCTCATGGCTGCAGAGCGCACGTGGCCTTTTCAGTCTCTGCCGGCAGAGCTGGCTCTAGGCTTGCATGATCTCTTCGGGGCTCTCCTAACAGCG